TATGAAGGAGCGGGGAGGGGAAGGAGGGGGGAATGTGCAATGTTGAAAGTTGAAGGGTTTACAGTATACACATATGGTGAGGTAAAAACTTAAAGAAATAGCGGTAAAAAAATTTTTTGGGAAAATTAATAATTAAATATATTGAATAGATTCATAATTTTTTGCTCTATTTGAGATTGCTAAACTATCTTACTGAAAAATGGTATTTGAGCCAGCATAAGTAATAAGTTTAAACCCTCTTTCTCATCTTTAAAGGAATTGAGTCTGTGCCACAATCTCAAATTTTCCAATCCCTATATTTTTGCAACCTAAAGATGTTAACTTTTGATATTTCAAACTTGGATTTTCTGATCTAATAAAATTCATAGTTTGAAATATCCAAGGTCCACGACATTGAGTTGCAAAGATATCGGAAATAGAAAATTAGAGTTTGTGTCGAAGACTCAATTCCATTCCTCCTGCAAATGAAACCAAAATCAAACTGAGAAAACCAGAAATGACTTTATTTTCCTTGCTTAGAAAAGTTTACGTTATTATTCTTGACGTTTATTGCCTAAACGTTATTATGTTCTTCGTTAGATGGGGAAAACACAAATAAAGTCAAGGAAAAGAAAAAAAATACTTTGGCAAAAGGATTCGAGATTTTTTTTCATGAAATAAAATTTTCTAATCCCGTTATTTGTAACCTGATGGTGTAAACCTTTGAATTTTAAACTTAGACAATTTGATCTAACAGAATTTATAGTTTGAAATATCATCCATCGGGTTGCAAAGATGTAGGGACTGCAACATTTTTAGAGCTTTTGAAAATACCATTTTTTGAACAAATCGTATATTTTCTTTGAAAATCATATTTTCAAAACTATGAGAAAAAAAAATTACAAATGTGGCCTTATATTATAATATGAAGCATTTCTTTATTTAGTCTCATAAATATAATGGATAATATCTACACATTATTTTTTCAAAATAGATGGATTTATAGATAATATCATCATTTCAGCAAATAAAACATTTTAGAAAATCCCATTTGTCTCCAATAATGAATTCATTTTTCATGTGGATAGTATCGAATTCGAGTCCTGCTTATTGAGTGTTCACAAAGAAACAGTGTAACCAATATATAGTGACTTATAAGTCGTCTTAACTCAATATATATGAACAAGGCTTTTAGGGCGCTTCGCGCATATCTTCTATTTCAATTGTAAACATGTTATCTTTGTAGACATTATAAAACAAACAAACAAAATTTCGCGGATTCCGTAAAAAAATTTGTGGATTCTCAAAAATCGAATTTTTTAGAGGCAAATTTTTGAAAATTCGATCATCCATAATCCTTCCCTGGGGTCACGCGCAATCATACGAAAAGTTTGTGCACTATCGGTTCAGCCGTTTTGACGTTGACAGACAAGCAAAGTATATAAATTTATATATATATATAGATTTTTTCGGGAGAGCCAGCAATCATTGGATCACTGTGTACCCAGACACCCCAAAAAGAGGTAACAATATTAGTCCCACCGATTGTTTTTTTTGCCCCATTGTCGTAAAATACGATTTTAGATATTTTTCCCGATAAAAGTCTACTCACTAAAATTACAATCTCAAAACTATGCTAAGAACCGTTGCTCTACCGAATTCCCCAATAAAAATTTGAGGCAAATCGGTCTAGGGGTGTAGCATTTTTTGTTGTAATGCTTATCACGATCTTTATTATCTATGTTATCAATATATGTCTTATCTATCTTAATGTTGCTCTGACCGGCTGATCCGGTCAGTTTGATTTACCTGTATATACATAAATTTATTACTACATGAACCTTTGTGTTATACGGACGTATACAGAGCCTTGAGTTTTGGCTAGAGACTGAGAGCATTGAGTTTGGCTAGAGATAGAGTCAGTGAGACTGTAATTAGACTTTGAGTAGCGTAATCTCAGGACCTAGATTTATTACAGGGGTGCCTTGTTGTAAATGTCAGAACTGTATCAATCCAGGTACAACTCACTCGTATTTTGCTATAAATGTCAATTCAGACACAAGCTCGTCATCTATAAATATCAATACAGACACAAGCTAGAAATTTATCAATTCCAAACCACTGGGCACGATCTTGTCAGCTCTAAATGTCAATACAGACACAAGCTAGGTATTCTATCAATGCTAAACCACTGGGCACGATCTTGTCAACTCTGAATGTCAATTCAGACACAAGCTAGAAATCTATCAATGCTAAACCACTGGGCATGATCTTGTCAGCTCTGAATGTCAATACGGACAGAAGCTAGTAATCTATCAATGCCAAACCACTGGACACGATCTTGTCAGCTCTGAATGTCAATACAGACAGAAGCTAGTAATCTATCAATGCTAAACCACTGGGCACGATCTTGTCAGCTCTGAATGTCAATACAGACACAAGCTAGTAATCTATCAATGCTAAACCACTGGGGGCATGATCTTGTCTGCTCTAAATTTCAATACAGACACAAGCTAGTAATCTATCAATGCCAAACCACTGGGGGCACGATCTTGTCAGCTCTGAATGCCAATAGCCCCAAGCTAGTTATCTATCAATGCTAAACCACTGAGCACGATCTTGTCAGGTCTAAATGTCAATACAGACACAAGCTATTAATCTATCAATGCTAAACCACTGGGCACGATCTTGTCAGCTCTGAATGTCGATACAGACACAAGCTAGTAATCTATTAATAATAAACCACTGGGCATGATCTTGTCAGCTCTGAATGTCAATACAGACACAAGCTAGTAATCTATCAATAATAAACCACTGGGCACGATCTTGTCAGCTCTGAATGTCAATAAAGACACAAGATAGTAATCTATCGATGCTAAACCACTGGGTACGATCTTGTCAGCTCTGAATGTCAATACAGGCACAAGCTAGAAATCTATCAATGCCAAACTACTGGGGAACGATCTTGTCAGCTCTGAATATCAATACAGACACAAGGTAGTAATCTATCAATGCAAAACCATTGGGGGAACGATCTTGTCAGCTCTGAATGTCAATACAGACACAAGCTAGTAATCTATCAATGCTAAACCACTGGGTACGATCTTGTCAGCTCTGAATGTCAATACAGACACAAGCTAGTAATCTATCAATGCTAAAACTATGGGCACGATCTCAACTTGTATGTTTCAACGAGAACCAAAATACTCTCAATACTGTAATCAATGCGGAGTCTCTATATCAACTTGTTTATTTAGATATCTTATGTTACAAGTTAACGTGAATCAATGTAATTTTAAGTTTTATGTCAATACATATATACAGCGTAGTTTAAGTTTAATGTACGTATTTATAAGATTAGCGAGTATAGATACAACGTAGTTAACCTATCTCCACACATGTTTACAGCGTAATTTAAGTTGAATATACTGATTTAAAGATTAACATGGATAGATATAAACGTAGTTAACCTAATCAAAATGCATGTTTTAATCATGTTTAGTAAGCACATTTAGATTTACAGACAATGTATAAAGTAATATATTTAGGTACGTTCAGGTTAATAAATATTGGGATTGCAGAGGGATAACTTGAAGTAAGAGAACAAACTTTGTGATTCTTAATCTTCTCAAAAACATAAACTAATATAAACTAACCAAATGAGTTAGAAGATACTGTTTATATATGTTTCAACCGAGTGGAATTTGACTAAATTCTCAAAACTTTGTAGTTTAAAAAATAATCTTCCAAATGCTTTAAGCTAGTCATCAATTTGATTAAAATGTTTTGGATTAATTAAAAAATTTTATTTTGAAAATACTGAAATCCTTAATATATTTACTTGATTCCATTTATTCATTTTTATTGATGAAAACTTAAAGGTCCAGAAATTTGTAGACCAAAATAAAAAAAATTGATAAAAAAAGTTTTTTTAATATGAATCTTTGAAAATGGTTAAATTAAAATCTCAAAAAAATATTTTTTTACAAAAAAAATGTATTTACCTGCCAAGAGAAACATGAAAATAAGGCAGGTGGTCCACATCATGATGAGAGCTTTGCGATTTTATCACTTTTAGAAAAATTTCCCGGATTTTGGTTGTTCTCCAACTTTTATTCCATTGTATAAGAGCAGAGTATTGTCGAGTTCTGTAATATATAAATCTAAACGACTGTTTAAACGAGTTAATATATTTCTAGAGGGATGATAAAGCTTAGGAAATATTTTATTACTTAGAGGGGGTTTTATTAATTTTTGGCTTGTCTCTTGGTTTACTTGAATTCACTGAATGATAAAACGGTTGAACCGAACGGACTAAATTTTTTTTTTTTCTTACAAGACCAGTCAAAATCAAATAAAATGATAAAGGAATTGAGTCTTTGCCACACACTCTGCTTTTCTAAGCACAATATCTTTGGATTCCAATGTCGTAGATCTTAGATATTTCAAACTATGAATTCTGTTAGATCAAATAATATAAGTTTGAAATATCAAAGATTTACAACATTGGGTTCCAAAGATATAGGGATTATAAATTCAGAGTTTGTGGCAAAGACTCGACTCCTTTATCTAAAAATTTTTATGTTTTCAATAATATTTAGAATTCCATTAAAAAAATTGGAAAATCCGCTAAATTTGAAATTGTTATGTTAAAAGTGTAAGTAAGAGAAAGGATTGCAGATTACATGCAACATTTATAATTAACAATATATGTTATATCTTTAAAATTAGCGAATTTTTAATAAATTTCACAAATTGAAAAATCTGATTGAAAGCAAGAGGAAAGACGACAATATTTACGATTTATAATGAAAACCACTGTATTATTACTTACATACAATTAAATGGTTCATGTTATACGTTATAAATAATCATATATATACAGGTTTTATAAATGTCTTCTCATTTTAAATCTTTTATGTTGAATAAATTCATAATACAGTACATTAATCAAATTGAAAAACTTGTTATGGAAAAATTATGCAAATATTCTAAAGGAAGAAAATCTAAAAGGAACCATTGTGCTTGCAAAATTTATTACTTCTACAATTAAAACTGTTTTTGCAAGGATTTGACCTTTATGTGTGCAGAAATAAACCAGAATTCAATCTGAAACATCAAAGCCTATTTTTGCAACAAAGCAATTTATTTTAAAAGTCCATAAAATATTATTTTTCAAAGCTCCCCCCCCCCTCCCATTTAAAATATTTAAGTGCTCAAATAAGTATTAGATATCACTTGAATTCGCAAATTTCTTATTTTTGCGCGCATTTGCAAGGGGGGGGGGGGAGAAATGTCATTTTTGTAAATCAAATTTAGTTTCAAAGCATTATTTTTTAATGTGTAGCATCTGCATATGTAAATCTGAATATCATCAAAACAAACTTGTTTCCCAATCTAAAGGAAGGAAAACATTCCATTAAAGCATGTTTTTCTCGAGTAAAATATCATTCAAAGATTCCAGCTTTTTTGTGAACTATTTTAGCTTTAGAAGTTTGGTCAGATTTTCTTTTGGTTTAATCGAAGAGAGAATAATTATGAATCGTCTAAATAGCCTATTAGGAAGCAATCAGTTTTCTATTATTTTGTTGATATGAAATAATTTACAAATATACCAAATGTCTTCAAAATAATTCATATTTTTAATCTAAAAAAGTAATTAGAGAGGAGAATCTCTGCCAAAGTCCCTCCAATATTTGCCCCAACCAGGACCATAAAAGATAGTTTAACTGTTAATTTTTCAAAATATTTCACGCAATACGTTGTTAATTCTTCGTAAATGTGATAAAAATTCTCAAAAAAAAAATATCCTTTTTGTTGACGTTTCCTGTAGATTTATCAGTACTTTTCAGAAATATTTTTACTGTCACCAAGCATTTCCAAAAACTGCATTTTTTAAGCAAAAATCTGCTGATTAATATTTTATGGATGGAGTTAAGTACTTTTCCGGGATAAAAATGAAATTCTACTAGAGGGGTGGGGGATGGTGAGGTATTTTTAATTGTTACTAGAACTTTACATAAACTAATTTTAATCATATTATGCGTTAAATCATTAATAAATTTATGTGATTATTTTTTTATTCTATTCTATCCTGTCTACAACATTTGAATTCAAATCTTCCTGAAATGAACCCTTGTACGGAACTCTAAGTGGCAAGATTGTAACTAAGCTGAATCTAGGTCAAAGTTTCGTGTACACTTGTACATAGTTCCTCTATATACTAAAACCTCACATAGTCCCTCTATATACTAAAACCTCACATAGTCCTTCTATATAATAAAACCTCACATAGTTCCTCTATATACTAAAACCTCACATAGTCCCTCTATATACTAAAACCTCACATAGTCCCTCTATATACTAAAACCTCACATAGTCCCTCTATATACTAAAACCTCACATAGTCCCTCTATATACTAAAACCTCACATAGTCCCTCTATATACTAAAACCTCACATAGTCCCTCTATATACTAAAACCTCTGTTCCAGGGCCCACAGAAGTGTGGAATCAATGCTGCAGATTACCGAAGTATAAACAGAGTCAGAGTAGAAATATGGAGTAGAAATCAACGGAGTAGGTTAGTATGGGGTAGAAATCAACGGAGTAGATTAATATGGAGTAGAAATCTACGGAGTAACTTGATATGGAGAGAAATCAACGGAGTAGATTAATATGGAGTAAAAATCAACGGAGTAGATTGATTTAGATAGGAAATCAACAGAGTAGATTAATATGGAGAGGAATTCCACAAAGGAATTACTGGTAAGCCTTTGCGCTAATATTAACATTTTATACAATGCAAATGATTTATTATGCAAATGATTTATTTGATGTTTTCTAATGAATATGTAACCTTTCGAATCTTGCAAAAACATGTTGATCTGTAGAATAAAATGCTTTTCTCTAGAAATTTAGTTCTTTCAATTTTATGAATAAAATAAAAGAGACAGATTTGAATAAGTAAATAATGTAAAAGGTCTTGAAAAATCAGAAAATAGTTTAGTTATTGTTTAAACAAGTTTTCAAGTTTTGAAATAACTTTGCATTTTAAACCTTTTTCTTTGAATTGCAACAAAGCAGCGAAATTCTGTTGCTTAATTCACTTTTCAGGCGAAAACTTGGAAAACAACATTTCTGCATAGAACTCATAACTTTGCTAATTTCAATAACTTGCACAAGCTCTTGCAAATAAGGGGACTGGGAGTGGGACTAGTAAAAAAATGTTTTTAAGCCAATTTAAAATGGCATGTCTTATTCACAAAGGTACATGCAGTGCCCTTAAAAGCTTTGTTGGATGAATGGTGTGAATTATATATCAATATATATGTTATTGAAAACTATTTATTTTATTTCTTACTTCAGAAACAATGGAGAAATGATCAGAATTAGGACGATATCTTCCACTTTTTATTAAGTTAAGATGTCAAAGGTATTGTTGTCGATCGGGCATGCATCTATATATTAAAATGAAGGATCAGTTCAAATTACGAAGGAACCCCTTTAAACGGTTCAAAATCTCATCAACGGGACGGCCCTCTCTTTGTAAAAGTTTTATCTACCAATATAAGCTATTTTTGCTAATCAGTTCATGGGTATTATAAAGCTCTTCGCTCATATATATATGTATATATATATATATATATATATATATATGATATAAATGATAAATATAATATAAACGGCTGGACCTAATTTGCTGAAAGTTTTTAATATTCAGGGGCTTAAATCCACGATCATAATGCTTTCAGTCTTTGGTCGAAAAAAGAAAAAATATGGTGTTTATTTTGTCTGGCATTCTTAGAAATTAAACTTAAAGATTGGTTGATAATGAAAAAGCTAAAAGCAAACTTTTTTTCTAATTTTACTTGTTTGATTTTGTAATTATTAAAATTTTTAGATATATTTCTAATTTTTTTACTATCAACCATATTTGCGAGAACTTTTATTTTTTATTTTTTTTACGATATAAAGAATAAAACCATATCTCATATTTTTAAACAACCATTTTAAACCCATCCCATCCTCTTAACCTTTCTTCATAATTTTGGAATGGAAAATTACTGAATATTATGAAACCGTTGGTACATCCAAACTTTGTTTCGACGTGAGTTAAAAAGTGCGTTTTATAAGATAATAATGTTTCCCTTTATCCTAGGGGCCAGAGGAAGGGGGTTTACAAACCTCCCCGAGGGGGGGCCCGGGGAAGGGGGTTTACAAACCTCCCCGAGGGAGGGGCCAGGAGAAGGGGGTTTACAAACTTCCCCGAGGGAGGGGCCAGGGGAAGGGGGTTTACAAACCTCCCCGAGGGAGAGGCCAGGGGAAGGGGGTTTACAAACCTCCCCGAGAGAGGAGCCAGGGATCGGGGGGAGGGGATTTACAAACCTTCCCTTGTCTTTGATCATCCTAAAAATGTACGGTAATGTAATGTATAAGCAGGCTTTAAACCGAACCTGAAAAACCCGTCGTCTTGTCTGAAATGTCTGCCGGATTCCTACCAAATTATAATTTCATCTCGATCCATTTCCAGTTCTTAGATTTGAACAATGTAAGGCTTTGTGATAAAATGAAGCAAACGTTTTTGCAAACTTTACTGCACGCATTTTCATTATTTTTTTGCTAATTATTTTTATATTTCTTGGCATTTAAATGTTCCCTGTACATTAGAATAAAGTTTTCATAATAAATTTTCAGCATTTTAAAAACCCTCAAATAATTTTAAAGTTTTGTACAGCCTGACATCCTGGGTCATAAAAGGTCAACAAAAATTTGGTTCCAATCGGTTCAGCCGTTTTGACATTTTTTTTACCTCAAAGAAATAAAACAAGCCAAAATTATTTATGGACAAATAGTGCAACGGTTCATACTGAGGTTAGATACTAACTGAGGTCTATTGGAGAGTGGAGGAAGAGGGGGAGGGGGTTACCGAGGGTTTGGCCTCGTAACTGCGAAACCACCGATACAAATCTAATGTACAAAGAATGATACACCTGTAGTTACCACTCAAACAGTTTTCAATCAGAATTCAAGAATTCTCTTAATTAAAAAATGAGCAGAAATTAGATATTCTTAAAAAATTTAAAAAATTTAGCAATCATTTTCCTTTAATGCAAAATACTTTAGCTATTGTTTTATTTTTAAT